CGTGCAAGGCAAACGCCCTACCCGCTGTGCTATTGCTCCAGCCCCAAATTGTATTCTTTATATATTCAAGATGGAAGTTTCTTAACAGAATGACTTTCGGATTTTTTTTTTCATTCAATGAGTTGCTTTTCACTTTCCTGATGGTGTCATTTATTGGTGTGTATGTATGTGTATACGTGGGTGTGTGTGTGTGTGTGTGTGTGTGTGTGTGATGTTTTATTTGGGAGTTATTTCCTCAGGAACACAGTATCACTCTCGGTTGGGTGCTTAGGTACGATATGCAATGCTGGATTTGAACTGGGTCAGCCATGTGCAAGGCAAGAGGCTTATTAACCCCTATAGCACCTCTAGAATCTCTCCAGCCCTGTTGGTGGTTTCTTTTGTTTTGGCAACACCCAGCTATGTTCAGTACTTGCTCCTGGCCCTGTGTTCAGGGAGCACTTTAAGCGGTGCTCAGTGGAGATAGAAAATCAGTCGTGCAAGGCCAGCACCCTACCCACTGTACTATCTCTCTGGCCCCTGATGGTGTCTTCTTTTTTTTTTTTTTTTTTGCTTTTGGGGTTACTCCTGGCTCTGCACTCAGGAGTTACTCCTGGCAGTGAGCAGGGGACCATATGGGATGCTGGGAATCGAACCCGGGTCAGCTGCGTGCAAGGCAAACGCCCTGCCCACTGTGCTATCACTCCAGCCCCCTGATGGTCTTTTAAAGAACAAAAGTCCCAGTTTTTCTGATGCCTCTCTTCTTGGCCTTCTCTTTCACACGCTCCCCCACTCCTGTACTCAAAGCTTCTAATTTCCCCCCAAGGGCACCAGGTCTGACGTATTCCGAGGGACTCGCTCCACTTTGGCTTCTGCCTTAGGGACCCCCGCCTTCACACTGGCAGCAAGGCAGGATGGGGTGCACTCGGAGTTAGGGGGCCCATCTTGGAAAGTGTGTGTGGGGGGGAGTTCCCTTCACTGCTTCCTGCTGAGTCCCAGCACAAGCTCTGTGGGCACAGCCCGGGCAGGGTAGGGGGGTCGACTGCACCTCGCCTGAGCGTTGGGGTGCCCCGTGCCTCAGCTGAGAAAGGAGGCCCAGATGATCCACCCAGAGCAGGCTTTGGGCTTGGGCCTTGCCCTCCGAGAAGTGAGCTGGGGGACCGGACGTGGTGCTAGGAACGGGGGTTCACAGCTTCGTTGGCTTTGATAAGAATGTGGGGGCCAGGGGATAGCACAGCGGGAAGGCGCTTAGTGAGAATGTGGGGGGCCGGGGGAGAGCATGGTAGGTGGGACGCTTAAGGAGAATGTGGGGGGCCGGAGGGGTAGCACGGTGGGTAGGGTGCTTGCCTTGAGAGTAGCCAACCTGGGTCAAGCTGCATCAGCACCTGTATGATCTCCTGAGATCCCTGCCCCCTGCCAGGAGTAAGCCGAGCACTGCTGGGTGTGACCCCCTCCCCCCCCCCCAAAAAAAAATAGAAGAATGTGCAGAGGAGGAAGGAAAGAGAACTACTGACCAACTTCACGGCCCCCAGAGGTAGCGGAGCTCTGGGCTCATGTTCCCCGGAAGGGCCCGGCTTACCTCAGGCTCCTGGGCCACCCGAGGGTGATGGGGTCAGAGCCCAGAGTGCAGCCCAAGAGGACCTAAGAGGACCCAGGGCACTTGGTCAGCCCCGATGCTGGGACCCGGGGCGCGCAGTCAGCCCTGATGTCGGCACCCGCGGGCGCACAGTCAGCCCCGATGCCAGCCCGTGTGGCAGCCCCGATGCCGGGACCCAGGGACACACAATCAGCCCGATGCTGGGACCCGGGGCGCGCGGTGAGCCCCGATGTCGGGACCCAGGGGCGCGCAGTCAGCCCCGATGCTGGGATCCAGGGCGCGCAGTTAGCCCGATCTCTGGGACTCCGGGTGCATGGTCAGCCCCGACGCCGGGACCCGGGGCGCGCGGTCAGCCCCGATGCCGGGACCTGGGGCGCACGGTCAGCCCGATGCCGGGACCCCGGGGATGCGCAGTCAGCCCCGATGTCAGCCCGTGTGGCAGCCCCGATGCCGGGACCCGGGGCACACGGTCACCCCAATGCCAGGACCCCGGGCGCGCGGTCAGTCCCGATTCCCGGACCCGGGGCGCGCGGTCAGCCCCGATGCTGGGACCCGGGGCACACAGTCAGCCCGATGCCGGGACCCCGGGGACGCGCAGTCAGCCCGATGCCAGCCCGTGTGGCAGCCCCGATGCCGGGACCCGGGGGTACACAGTCAGCCCGACGCCGGGACCCAGGGCTCGCGGTCAGCCCCGATGCCAGGACCCCGGGCGCGCGGTCAGTCCCGATTCCCGGACCCGGGGCGCGCGGTCAGCCCCGATGCCGGGACCCGGGGCACACAGTCAGCCCGATGCCGGGACCCCGGGGACGCGCAGTCAGCCCGATGCCAGCCCGTGTGGCAGCCCCCTGTGCGAAGGCCCCGCGCACGGCTGTGGGCGCAGGAAGCGGGCAGGAAGGGGCGGCGTCGCCCCCATCTGCGGAGCATCAGTGGGGCCGCGGGTGGGGGCTCCCAGTGGGGCCAGGGAGGAAGCGGGGAGGGGGCGCGGGGGGGGAGCAGGGGCCTGTGGCCTCAGCCCCTTGGCAGCCCATGAAGGGAAGTGACACAATGAGGAATGTGTTTCCCTCTGCCCGGCCCAGTCCCCCGCGTGGGGGTGGGGGCGCCTGGGAAGGGGCAGACCCCAGTGGGGCCGAGGGCACATGCTGTGGCCGCATGGGAGGCCAGTGCTGGCCACGGTCTGGGCCCCAGAAAGAGGGGAGGAAGACAGGCAGGAAAAGCACCTCAGGGTGGGGGGCAGTGCGGGGGCGGGGCGGGGGGCTTATGCTCCCCAGGGGCCTTTCCTGGTGACTCGAGGGTCCTGGCATGGGAGGGTGATGAGGTCAGAGGACCCCTGGCCATGGGCAGGGCTGTGTGTGTCCAGCTGTGGCCCCCCCAGGGGACAGCACCTCCCTGTCCAGGATACCCATTTCCTGCCCGCCCCGCCCCCTTGCGCGCTGTTAACCCCTTCCTCCCCGTACTCCAGAGACTGCCCTGAGGCTTCAGCAGGCCCTTGGTCCTGGGCTAGGCGTGAGGAGGCCTTGAGGAGCAGATTGACCCACACTGGGAGCGAGGACAGAGCCCGCAGGGGTGGGAGGTCCTCACAGAAGCCTCAGTCCTGCTCTGGTGAACGCTTGCTCGCTCGTGGTGGAGGGAGAAGGGGGCTTGAGCACATGGTCTACCCTGCCCTTGGGGGCACCCAAGCAGTGCCCAGAAGATTCGGGGACTCCATCCATGATTCTTTTGTTTAGGGGCCACACCTAGCGATGGTCAGGGCTTACTCCTGGCTCTGCACTCAGGAATCACTCCTGGCGGTGCTTGAGGGACCATATGGGATGCGGCGGGGATTGAACCCAGGTGGGTCACATACAAGGCAAATGCCCTCCGGCTGCACTGTCGCTCCAGCGCCCCCTATGGGTAATTTGCGGCCACTGGTTTGGTGCAAGGGCCTGAGAACCAGAGGCTGCTTGGGCCAGACACGGGAGGTGGGTGGGTGGGGGGGGATGCCGGGTCACCTCAGGAGCTCAGGGAGACTGTGGTGCCAGGAGTCGAACCTAGGCTGAGGGCTTGCAGACTTATACTATTTTCTGGCCCATGAAGTTGGTTTTTGATTGTTGGTTTTTTTTTTTTTTTTTTTGCTTTTTGGGTCACACCCGGCGATACACAGGGGTTATTCCTGGCTCATGCACTCAGGAATTACTCCTGGCGGTGCTCAGTGGACCATATGGGTCGCTGGGAATTTAACCCGGGTCAGCCGCGTGCAAGGCAAACGCCCTACTCACTGTGCTGTTGCTCCAGCCCTTGTTGTTGTTTTTTTAAAAAAATATGTATATAAATTGCTGTACGGGCCACACTTGGTGCTATTGGGGGTGACCTGTCCCCACAGATTAAATCCAGGACCACAGACATGCTAGCACAAGCTCTGCCTAGCCTTAAATCTTACCCTTGGGGCTGGAGGGATGGTAGCATGCTTGCCTGGCATGCAGCCAACCCAGCTTCCAGCCCTGGGACCACATATGGTCCCCCAGGCCCAGCAGGAGTGAGTCCCCAAACAAAAGACTTACCTGTGGCTGGTAACCCTGCATCCATGGAGCTCTGGAGGCCACTGTCATCTTCCACTGTCCTGCTGCATCCTATTTAGGACAGCTGGGCTTCCTCTGCCACCTTCACTCAGCTCTCTGAGGTGCCCGGGGACCCTAGCAGGGTCCAGAGAGTCTAAGGGGGTAGCCTTCAGAGGCCTGGACCTTAGCTTCCAGCTGAAGAGTGAGGGGCCACAGCCAGCAGCCTGCGCTGGTCCAGTCAGCAGCCATGCTGGGTTGGGGACATGGGCTTGGCCTGCAATATTTGTTGGCCTGGTTAGTGTCCATGCAGGGCAGGGACATGGGCTCAGCCTGCAACGTGCGCTGGCCTGGTCAGCAGCCATGCTGGGCAGGGGACATGGACTCAGAGGCTGTAACACAGACACGGCCTTACAGCACCCAGCAGCTTTGCACCGGGGCTGGGTGTGGAATGTTTTCAGGACTGGCTCTGGGCCCCAGAGTCCTGCTGGTGGTCAGCTGACCCACTGTCCTGTCTCTCCTGCCCCGGCAGCTTGTACTTTTCTGTAGAAATGTACCAGGGAGCCGGAGAAACAGGACAGCGGGCAGGGCGCCTGCCTCACACGTGGCTCGCCCTGGTTGATCCCTGGCGCCCCGATGATCCCTGAGCACTGCACGCCTGAGCCCTAAGCACCTGGGCGTGGCCCCCAGACCAAAAGAAGTCTCTTTCAGTGTGTGCAATACACGGCCAGACTCACCTTCAGCCGCTGCCAGCCTTTGGGGGTGCCGGAGGCCGAGAGGAGAGCAGGGCTGGGCTCCCTCCTCAGTCTGTCCTCCTCGGCCCACACCATGGGGGGCTGTCAGGGGGCCAAGAGTCCCCGAGTGGGGTGTGAGGCCTCCGTGTCACTCCACAGGGACCTGAGGAACAACGTCATCAGCACGGTGCAGCCCGGAGCCTTCCGGGGATTGGGGGAGCTTAGGCGCCTGTGAGTAGCGTTTCCTGCCGCCTGCCTTCCTTTCTGTTCCTTGATTTGGGGGGCCATACCTGGCTCTGCACTCAGGAATCACTCCGGGGGGGTTGGGGAACCATGGGGGGTGCCAGAGATGGCGCCAGGGTGGCCACATAGTTTGCCTTGTCCCGTCCCCCCACCCCCTGTGCCCAACCGAGTGGTGGCTGAGGGGTGCCTGGTCTCCCTAGAGATCTCTCCAACAACAGGATCGGCTGCCTCGCCTCCAGCACCTTCCAGGGCCTCCCCAGGCTTCTCCGACTGTGAGTGGGGTCCCGGGGGAGGGCGGGTTCCCCCCAGGAGGCGCACTGACCCCCAGGTCTGCCGCTCACCCCCGCCCTCCCCCACTCCGCTCTGTTCCTCACTCTCCCGAAGAAACATCTCTGGAAACATCTTCTCCAGTCTGCCGCCCGGGGTCTTCCAGGAACTGCCGGCCCTGAAGGTCGTGTGAGTATCCCGGCACGAGGAGGCGGGACGGGCAGGGCTTCCCACGTACCCCCCCAGCCCACAGCCCTGCTCTGTGCCCCCAGGGACCTGGGCACTGAGTTCCTGACGTGTGACTGCCGCCTGCGGTGGCTGCTGCCCTGGGCGCGGGGCCGCTCCCTGCAGCTATCCGAGCGCACGCTCTGCGCCTTCCCTGCCGCCCTGCGTGCCCGGGCCCTGGGTGGCCTCCAGGAGAGCCAGCTGCGCTGCGGTGAGCACCCGCCTCCCTCCCATCCAGGCAGGGCCTGCTGGTGCCCCCCCTTCCTCCCTGCTCTTCTCTGGGGGCTTCTTCTCTCCCCCCCCTTCTTCCTTCCTGGCTCTGCCAGGCCTGGTCCCCGGATTCGCCCCCAGGCCTTTGCCCCCAGGCCTCACCACGTGTCTCGGCCCACAGAGGGTGCCCTGGAGCTGCACACACACCACCTCATCCCATCTCTGCGCCAAGTGGTGTTCCAGGGGGACCGGCTGCCTTTCCAGTGCTCGGCCAGCTACCTGGGCAACGACACCCGCATCCGCTGGTACCACAACCGGGCCCTGGTGGAGGGGGATGAGCAGGCGGGCATCCTCCTGGCCGAGAGCCTCATCCACGACTGCACCTTCATCACCAGGTACAGGCTCCGGGCAGCCACCTCCCCCGGCCCGAAAGGGGACTTAGATTCGTTCTTGCACGTGTGCTGTCCAGGAACTGTGTGTGTGTGTGTGTGTGTGTGCATGTGTGTGTGTGAATGCGCACATGTGCGTGTGTGCCTGTGCGTGCACGCGTGTGAGCATGCTTGTGTGTACGCACACGTGTGTGAATGTGCGTGTGTGCCTGTGTGTGCACGCGTGTGAGCATGCTTGTGTGTACACACACGTGTGAATGTGTGTGTGTGCATGCTTGTGTGTGAGCATACACATGTGAATGTGTGTGTGCCTGTGTGTGTATGAGTGCGTGCATGTGTGTGTGTGTGTGTATTCATGGAAAGCCAGAAATCAAGTGCCTGGGTTGGGGGAGACGGCTCCAAGGGCTCTGTGTGTGCTCTGCACACAGGAGGGAGGCCCAGATTGAATCCCTGGTGCCTTACGGTCCCATAAGCGCCCCGCCGGGAGTAGCCACTTTTGTTTTGTGGTCCAAAAAAAAAAGAAGACATGTCTTTGAGGCGGGGTGCTCTAAATGCAGGAAGCCCTGTTTGACTCCTGGAGCCTGGAGCCCCGCTGGGGTGCCTGCCGCTGGTTGGGGAGGGTGCCCCCCCACCCGCCAGCACCTCCCAAGCCCACCCTCCACCTGCCCACAGTGAGCTGACGCTGTCTCACATCGGTGTGTGGGCCTCGGGCGAGTGGGAGTGCTCCGTGTCCACGGCCCAGGGCAACGCCAGCAGGAAGGTGGAGATCGTGGTGCTGGAGACATCTGCCTCCTACTGCCCGGCTGAGCGAGTGGCCAACAACCGTGGTGACTTCAGGTTGGCCCCGCCCCGGCCCTGCCCTGGGTCACCCGCTCCAGGACCCGCTGTGGGCAAGAGCCCCTTATTCGGTTTCTGATAATCCCCTCCAAGGTGCGCCCAGAGCCCAGGGGCTGCGAGCTCCCGCCCTCATGGATACCGAGCTCCCCCAGCCAAGCCTGTGAGGGTGCGGGGGGTTCCTTGGCCCAGGGCACAGCTGAGAAGACTGAGACCCCAGCACCAGGGCAGCGCCGTCCAATGGGAGGGAAGTGGGGGGTGCCCTGCAGCCTCCAGAACCCTCCTGCGGCTCCGTCCCCCACCCCGGGGTCCCTGCGGCACTGCCCAAGGCTGAGCCCGCTGCAGCTCCTGCTCCACTCCCAGGTGGCCCCGCACTCTGGCTGGCATCACAGCCTACCAGTCCTGCCTGCAGTACCCCTTCACCTCGGTGCCCCTGAGCGGGGGTGGCCCAGGCACCCAGGCCTCCCGCCGCTGTGACCGTGCCGGCCGCTGGGAGCCCGGCGACTACTCGCACTGCCTGTACACCAACGACATCACCCGCGTGCTCTACACCTTCGTGCTGGTGAGCCCAGCCGGCCCGTGCTCCAGGGTGCCTCCCGCGCTTCCCCTCCAGCTTCTGGGACCCGGGCAGGGAGGTGTAGTCAGACCAGCATCCTTCCTCCCAACATGGCCAGGCTTGCCTTGCGGGGGAACTGTGAGGGTGGGAGGCAGTGGGCCCAGGGGCCAGGCCTTGAACCCCGTGCGCTCACCGCTGCCCAGGCAGAGGCACCTCCCAGCCACTGGGCCAGACTCCCCATGGCCCGAGGGGCTGTTCTGGAGAGGAGGAGGCTGCAGCATCTGTCCCCCTACAGATGCCCATCAACGCTTCCAATGCACTGACCCTGGCCCACCAGCTGCGCGTGTACACGGCCGAGGCCGCCAGCTTCTCGGACATGATGGACGTGGTCTATGTGGCTCAGATGATCCAGAAATTTCTGGGCTATGTCGACCAGATCAAAGAGGTAAGAGCCCGCTGGGGTCTCCTGGGAAACGCCCTGGGCAGCCCCCATGCACACACTTGCTCCGACCCCTGCTGCCCTCAGTGGCTCCTGCACCTCTCGCCCCCAGCTGGTGGAGGTGATGGTGGACATGGCCAGCAACCTGATGCTGGTGGACGAGCACCTGCTGTGGTTGGCGCAGCGTGAGGACAAGGCCTGCAGCGGCATCGTGGGCGCCCTGGAGCGCATCGCGGGGGCTGCCCTGAGCCCCCACGCCCAGCACATCTCCGTGGTACGCAGGCAGGGCGGAGCTCCTGGTGTGGAGGGGTGGCTGAGGGCGGCTTGGCCCTGGCACGGAGGTTGCCCGGGGCACTCCCTGCCACCCCGCAGGCAGACACCTGTCTCTCGGGCACATGGGCAGGTGCCCAGAGGGCAAGAGCCCGAATGTGGGGGACGGAGCCTCAGTTTTCAGGGACAGTGTGGGGGTGGGGGCTGGTGGCACTGGAAGGGCACACGAGGCTCCGTGCTGAGGAATGGGTATGGGGTGCGCCCAGTGGCGAGAAGAGATCCAGCGGGAAGGGAATGGGGGCCCCCTGACTCCACACGAGACCCCCCCCAACACACACACACCGGCAGGAACCGGCACAGCGCTGGAGCAGAGCCCCAGTCCCACACCAGCACGGCACCAGGCACCCTGGGGGACGTGGGTGGGGCCCACTCCGGAGCTAGCGACGACGGGGGAGCTCCGTGCGAGAGGGCGAGGGCCAAAGGGGGCCCGCCTGGGAAACAGCCCGGCCCGAGAGCCTGGCGAGGGGCAGGGGAGCGGCGGGGGGCGTGGGTCTCTCACGGTGCCTCCCCCAGAACTCCAGGAACGTGGCGCTGGAGGCCTACCTCATAAAGCCGCACAGCTACGTGGGCCTGACCTGCACGGCCTTCCAGCGGCGGGAAGGCGCGGCCCCCGAGCCCGAGCCCCCCGGGGACCAGCAGCTCCGCTTCCGCTGCACCACCGGGAGGCCCAACATCTCCCTGTCGACCTTCCACATCAAGGTGGGCCCATGGGTGGGGCGGGCCGGGGGCGTGGGGGCTTAGGGGTCCCCGAGGAATCCCTCTGTGCCTCCTTCCACATCAAGGTGGGCCAGGGCGGGGCGGGGCGGGAAGGGCGCGGGGCCTCGGGGTCCCTGAGGAACCCCTCTGTGCCCCCAGAACAGCGTGGCCCTGGCGTCCATCCAGCTGCCACCCAGCCTGTTCTCGCCCCTGCCGGCCACGCTGGCGCCCCCCGAGCCCCCCGACTGCACCCTGCAGCTGCTCGTCTTCCGCAACGGCCGCCTCTTCCGCAGCCTCGGCAACACCTCCCGGCCGGGCGCCGCGGGGCCTGGCAGGAGGAGAGGGGTGGCTACCCCAGTCATCTTTGCCGGAACCAGTAAGGAGCCTCCGGGGCCTGTACCATGCCCCTGCACCCTGCTCTCGCCCACAGCACCCCAATGGCCCCATGGGGTGGGGGTCTCCGACCCTTCCAGGAAGGCCGGACTGTGGTGCCCGGGAGCCACCTGCCCAAGCCACCTGCCATCAGCACACCCCACCCGCTCGCCTGGTCCCAGCCCTCAGCATCCCCTCCCCTCCCCCACCCCAGAATCCTCCCGCTGGGTCACCCCTCCTTATCCTCTGGCACCTGGCCTCGCCTTGGGGTCTTCCCCGGGAACAGCAGGAGGGCTGGTGGGTGGTCTTGCGTTGCTGCCAGCCAGCACAGCAGCCACCCCGGCCCACCCAGCCCCACAGAGCCGGTGCCGGCCGGCGCCCATGCTGGATGTGTCCCCTTTCCCACAGGCGGCTGTGGCGTGGGGAACCTGACGGAGCCGGTGGCCGTCTCTCTGCGGCACTGGGCCGAGGGGGCTGAGCCCGTGGCCGCCTGGTGGAGCCAGGAGGGGCCCGCGGGGCCGGGGGGCTGGAGCTCCGAGGGCTGCCAGCTCCGCTCCAGCCAGCCCAACGCCAGCTCGCTGCACTGCCAGCACCTGGGCAGCGTGGCCGTGCTCATGGTGAGCGCTGGACGGGGCAAGGGGACAAGGGCGGATGGCCAGGGCACGGGAAAATGCAGAGCGGGAGGAGCCGTAGAGATGGTACCGGGGTTAAGGTGCTTGTTTGCACAGGGCTGACCTTGGCTCAGTGCCCGGCTGCCCAAATAGTTCCCTGAGCCTGCCCCAAACAAACTAAAATGTCCCTCTGGCACCCCTCTGTTTCCAGCTGTCAGGAGACAGAGCTGGGGAGCAAAGGTTTGGGGCACATGCTTGGCCTGCGGGAGCCCCAGGCATGCTCCCGCCCCCAACAGAGCCGGTCAGGGAGGGCCTCTGTGCACCCGCCTGAGAGCCGAGCCTGGGTGCCCGACCTGGCCTCCCAGCCCGCACCTCTGAAACCCAGGCTGTTTATGGTGAAAAGACCCAAAGCATCTGGTGACAGTCCCCCTTCCCTCTCTGTTCCACCTCACACCCTACTTGGCCAGTGGGCGCGAAGCTAATTAGAAACAACCTTCCCCACTTTCCACGTCATCACTGGGGATCGGAAAAGCCCCCAGCGAGGCCCGGGGTAGCTCTCGGCACTTCCCCAGAATGGCTTTTCAGTTGTTCCGTTTGTTTGGGGTTTGGGGTCAGTTCCGGCAGTGCTCGGGGCCTGCTGGGCTTTGGGCTTGGGGCCCTGCAGGGGCCTGAAGGGCCCTGCTCTGCCCTAGAAGAGGGGTTTGCTAAGAGGGGTGGCATGGCTGCAGCCAGGGCCTGAGTGAGGGTCGAGGCTTCTGGAGACAGGAGACAGACGTGGGGACCTGGCCGGGGCTCCAGCGGGCTTCCTAACGCCCACCTCTCCCTGCCTCGCCAGGAGCTGAGTGCCTTCCCGCGGGAGGTGGGGAGCTCGGGGGCGGGGCTGCACCCCGTGGTGTACCCCGGCACCGCCCTGCTCCTCCTCTGCCTCTTCTCCACCATCATCACCTACATCCTCAACCACAGGTGAGTCGGCCGGCCACGGCACACCAAGCCCTCACACCTGGCACTGACCCGGGTGGCGGGAGGTATGTGACTTTCTCAGGGGCTTGCCCAGGATCCATTCCTGGGGCTGGGGTCTGGAGAGATAATAAGGTGGTGGGTTTCGCATGCGACCGACCCCCGCTGGAGCACCCCAGGCCTTCCCCTGAGCCCCAGACGTGTGGAGTCCTTCCGCTCTGGCCCAGCACTGGCCTGGCCCTCGGGGCCGCCCTGGGATGCCCGCTCATTTCGTGTTTCTGGCAGCTCCATCCACGTGTCCCGGAAGGGCTGGCACACGCTCCTGAACCTGTGCTTCCACATGGCCATGACCTCCGCCGTCTTTGCCGGGGGCATCACTCTCACCAACTACCGGGTGCTCTGCCAGGTGGTAAGCAGGAGAGGGAGGGGGCACCTCGAATCAGGAAATGCACAGGAGGAGAAGAGGGCTCACGGGCAGGGAGAGGGTACAGGGGAGAAGGCACTTGCCTTGCTTGGCCAACCTTGGTTTGACCCCACACCACACAGGTGAGCACTGCCAGGGCTGATCCCTGAGCATCGCTGGGTGTGGCCTCAAAAGGAAACAAAAGAAAGAAAAAGGGGGTTCATGCCACTACTGCCCAGACTTGGGTGCTGGTGCTCGCAGCAGGGACAGGGGGGGGGGGGCGGGGCAGGGACCTGCAGGGGAGAGGTCAGGCGGGGTAGTGGGGAGTCACTGGATCTGGGGAGGCCCCTGGAGTGCAAGTGGAGGAGGAAGTAGCAGGCGCAGCCTGGGGAGGGGAGGCGGGGCGGGTCCCCCAGCATCCTGCCTCGGTCCCACAGGTGGGCATCACCCTGCACTACTCCTCGCTGTCCACACTGCTCTGGATGGGCGTGAAGGCCCGGGTCCTCCACAAGGAGCTCACCTGGAGGGCGCCCCCTCCCCAGGAAGGAGACTCAGCGCCCCCGGCCCCCCGGCCCATGCTCCGGTATTTCCAGTAGCGGGGTCTGCGCCTGCGGAGGGGGGGGGAGGGGCGGGGGGGCTCCAGTCCAGTCCGGGCTGTGTGCCTGTGTGCGAGGGTGAGGGCGCAGGTGGGGGCACCCCGTAGGGCCAGCAGTGCTGGTCCCCTGGGCCCTAGCAGAGCTGCCCCGGGGGCGGGGCTGGCCAGGGAGTCTGACAACTGAAGGGGAAGGGCGATGGGCCAGGGGCGGGGTTGGGGGTGGGGGCGGGGGGCCGGGGTGCGGCGCAGCTGCTTCCCAGCCTCTCCAACCTCTAAACCCACTTCTCCAGGTTCTATCTGATGGCCGGAGGGATCCCGCTCATTATCTGCGGTATCACAGCAGCTGTCAACATCCACAACTACCGGGACCACAGCCCCTAGTGAGCTTGGGGCCGCCCCTTGCCCGCCCGATGCCCACGCGTGCCCCCCTCGCGCCCCTGCCCGCCCGATGCCCACGCGTGCCCCCTCCCGCCCCTGCCCGCCCGATGCCCACGCGTGCCCCCTCCCGCCCCTGCCCGCCCGATGCCCACGTGCCCCTCCCGGCCCTCATCCGCGCCCTGTCCCCGCAGCTGCTGGCTGGCGTGGCGGCCGAGCCTGGGCGCCTTCTTCGTGCCGGTGGCCCTGATCCTGCTCATCACCTGGATCTACTTCCTGTGCGCGGGGCTGCGGCTGCGGGGCCCCCCGGCGCAGAGCAGGGCGCCCCCGGGCGCGGGCCGGCTGCGGGGCCCCGGGGCGCCCCCGGGCGAGGCGAGCGCTGCGCCGCCGGGGACCCCCGAGGGCGCGGACGGGCCCTGCTCGCCCGGGGCGCAGCTGGGCGCGCTGGTGACCACGCACTTCCTCTACCTGGCGCTGTGGGCGTGCGGGGCGCTGGCCGTGTCCCCGCGCTGGCTGCCCCGCGTGGTGTGCGGCTGCCTGTACGGCGCGGCCGCCTCGGCGCTCGGCCTCTTCGTCTTCACGCACCACTGCGCGCGGCGCCGGGACGTGCGCGCCGCGTGGCGCGGCCGCTGGCCCGCGGGTCCCCCGGGCCTGAAGCCCCCCGCGGGCGCGGCGCCCTGCAAGCTCACCAACCTGCAGCTGGCGCGGGGCCCCGCCGAGCCCGCCGAGCCCGCCGAGCCCGCGCCGCCGCCGCGCGCCGCCCGCCGCGCGCCCCGCGCCCGCGCCCGCCCCGCGCCCGCGCCCTCCGACGGCAGCGACAGCAGCGCCGGCCCGCCCGCCGCCGCCGCCGCCGGCCTCAACGGCGGCCCCCGCGGCGCCAGGGACGAGGACGGGCCGGCCGGCAAGACGGGGCTGTGGAAGAGCGAGACCACCGTGTAGCGCCCGCTCGCCCGGCGACCACGAGAGCGGAGCCAAGTCCCGGGGAGGGCACGGGCTGCCGGGTGGATGCACCGCGCAGCGGGGCCCGCGGCTGGAGAGGCCGGGAGGGACGCAGAGAAGTGCCTTAAACCGGGCAGAGGCCCGACACACACACACACACCCACACACACCCCGCCTGGCCCATCTTCCAGAAGCAGCTTCGTGAGCCTGAGCCGCGCCTGGCCCAGAGCCCCTCCCCAACCCTCCCCGGGCCGGGACCCGGCTCAGCCCTCTTACACCAGCACCCGCATTCCCCACCTAAAAAGCCACCACCAGCCTTCACTGCAGGACCCGTCAGAGTGGAGGGAACCTTGAGCCTTGGGGGCAACAGGTCTGCCTGCGCCCAGCCCAACCGCCAAGGTGAAGGACAGCCAGGGCACAAAGACGACACGGATCCTGTTATTTATGCTTGCTGCACAGACAATATTAGAAAGGAAAAAAAAAAAAGCTTTGTATTACTCTTCCACATACGCGGTTTACATACCCCGCCAATGCCTTCGCACTGGAGAGCTTTTTGCAATACGCTGGGGTGAGGGGCGGGTGGGGATGAAAAGTGCCAAAGAAAACTTGTTTTTAAAGGCTCGGGTTTTATACAATAGAATGTTTTCTAGCAGATGCCTCTTGTTTTAATATATTAAAATTTTGCCAAGCCCTTCGACCCGACCTTGGTACATACACCCACAGTCCTTTCCTTGGAGGTAGAGGATCGCGGGGCCACAGCCCACCAGTGTGTGTGTGGGGGGGGGGGGGGGGCGAGGGCCTGGCGCGTTCCCACCCTGCTGAGAGCTGATACTGGTGGGAAGGCGGACGGCGCCACACCAGCAGCGTGTCCAATCTGAACCAGTGGACGCCCGCCTTGCCCAACATTCTCCGAGGAAAGCCGCCCAAGAGCGAAGGAATGTTCCCGGCTGGCTCTGGCACCGAGGGGCGGCTCACTCGGCCCACTCGGCCTGCATTCCTCCTGTTTCGGACACTGCTGAAACCGCTTTGGCCCCGAAACGGGCCAGTACCTCAGGCTGCACGTGCACTTAATCCCTGGCCAGGCCAGGCCACCGTGGGAACAGCCAGCCGCACTGTGGGAGGGGCAGGCGCGTCTTCAGGGCGGGTTGGGGGCACTGGCGGGGCCCTGCCCAGCCGCCTGGGCTCTCTGGAAGTCCCTCACTTCCTGGGGCGTGCGCAGGTACTGCTCGATTTCGCTGTCGGAAATGTTCTCGTCCCCAGTGACTGCGGGGGCTGGGCTCACGGGGCAGATGCGCTTGGGGGGCTTCAACATGCAGGGCGGGAGGAGCAGGGCGGGGCCTGCTGGCCGCTCCCCCGGCAAGGCAGAGGCGCTGCTCCCGGCCCCCTTGGAGCCCGGCCCCGGCGGTGCCTCGTCCCCGAAGGCCTTGCGGAGGAGAGTGCGGCGGTGCTGGAGCAGGTCGCCGATGTGCTTCACCACGGACCGTTTGTCGAGCTTCAGCACCTGCAGCCAGGCCAGCTGGCCCGCCATACGCAGCAGCACGGCCACCAGCTCCTGCAGGCGAGAGGACGCGGGGTAGGGCAGGTCCACGTTGGCCAGCTTGCAGAACCGCGTGAGGGAGCACGAGAGCCGGTCCGCCGGCCGCAGCGACTGCCACGCCAGGAAGGTGGCGGCAGTGACGATGGGCAGGGGGCGCCGCCCGGTCACCAGCCACGCCTCGTCGGCCAGCTCCACCAACTGCAGGGTCCGCGACAGCACCTTCTCCCTGTCCTCCACATACTTGGCAGGCAGCGCCGGGGAGGCCTGGAACAGCCGGAAGCTGAAACAGAGCACAGTGACGGTGGGGGCCTGCCCTCCCGCAGGAGAGCCAGGCTGGACTGGGCCGGGGGCGCCCAGCACGAGAGACTGAGGGGAAGCAGGCGTTTCTGCAGCACCCTGCCCCTCCGGTGCCCATCAGACATCATTCTGGGTGCTTCACAGAATGCCCTCCCCGAATCTTTATCCCTCGAAGTGCAGTTACAGTTTAAAACAAACAAAAAACTTGTCCAAAATCCTTCAGCCGGGACATGATTAAACCTCAAAGCCAAGAGCCGGCGCGAGGGACAGCACAGAGGCGAGGGCTCTTGCCCGGCACATGGCCAGCGCTGGTTCCAGGCAGCTCTTCTCTCCACTCTCCTCCAACACCCCCCGCCCCCCCGCCCCCCCCAGCTTCATGGCCACCCCAGGTTCTGCTCCGGGTTCTGTTCTGGTTCTGTGCTCAAGGGATCACTCCTGGCAGGGCGAGGGGAATAAATGTGGTGACTGGATCAAACCAGGGTCAGCTGCACGCACGGCAAATGCTTTAACCCCTGTACTCTCTCTGCAAATTCAAGCTCGTGATCTCTGTCAGTAAAAAGGACCCCAACTCCTTGGAAAAGGGGGTGGGGATTGATTTCTACCTACAGCTCTGTCCTTTACCAATATTTTTTTCAACTCCGTCCTCACAAGGTTCTGCTAAGGCACAGCTGCTGCTCACCCCAGAGAGCGATTGGGTATTTGCAGCCGGCTCCAGAGATCGGTGCATCCCTTCCCCACTCGCCAGCCGCCCTGAGGGAGTGGCACTGGAGCACCACAGAACTTCAGAAATGGCAAATGGGATTCTCATATTAGGTGGAAGAGAGAGCACAGATTTTTTTTCCTCTTCTAACCAAATACCTGCTACAGTAGGACTTCACCAGGTCTGCCAAGCACAGAGATGGCACATCCAGTCCCAGAAGCTTCACTATCTGCATGTAGGTGCCAGAAACCACGTCCAGATCTGCGTACAGCAGGGTGCAAATGGTCCCCATGGTGAGGGGCCAGTTGTGCTGCCGGCAGGTGATTAAGACACAGCATCCCACCAACACCTCCTTCTTTTGCAGCCTAGCTGCGCGGATCCCAGGGTGCTGGTACGCCTGTTGGTAGTAGGCGACTGCCGTGTCTTCAAATGTTGATGGCAAATGCAGAACGCGACAGAGGTCTCTCACGCGGCGGAGGCCTAGGAAAACCCACCCGAGAGTCCGCAATCAGAGGAAACGACTATTTGTCTCCTGGTAATTTCTGCTATGCTACATAATGTCCCTTTCTGCAGTGATGTGTGAAACCTGATGGACTCATTGTTAAGACACAAAGGGAACTCTGTGGGGGTGGGGCGGGAGAGGAGCCACTTTCCAACCCAGGATCTTTTAGGGGAGAGGTGGTGTTTTTTATTTTTGCCGAGCACCATTTGGGTCACAATCACGATCACGACCATCCTGTTGTTCGTCAATTGCCTCGAGCAGGCCCCAGTAACGTCTCCTTCGTCCTAGCCCTGAGATTTTTAAAAAGTGCCATATTCAAGGCTCCTTCAGGGTTAGGAGAATGAAACCCATCATTGTTACTGATATTTGGCATATCGGGTACACCACGGGGAGTTTGCCAGACTCTGCTGTGGGAGCAGGTTACACTCGGTACCCATTTGGGTATTTACACTAATATCACTCCCATGCCATTGTTGTACAGGCAGCCTGACCACAAGTGGCCACTGAAGCATACATGTCTGCATGGTCACGGAGCAGGGATGGATCACACAACTTCACAGGCCTTCTATACCGATCCCCACCAGTTTCACAGACTGCCTTGATTCAGAGTCAAGTCAAAATTTGAGCTGGGTTCCAAGGGCTGGAGCGATAGCACAGCGGTAGGGCATTTGCCTTGCGCACAGCCGGCCCGGCCGAACCAGGTTTGATTTCTCTGCCCCTCTCGGGAGAGCCTGGCAAGCTACTGAGAGTATCTCGCCCGCATGGCAGAGCCTGGCAAGCTACCCGCGATGTATTCAATATGCCAAACACAGTATCAACAAGTCTCACGATGGAGACGTTACTGGGCCCGCTCAAGCAAATCGATGAACAATGGGAGGACAGTGACCCGTTGACCGCTGATCCAAGGACTTTACCTCAAACTCACCCCTGAGCAAGTTCAAGCCTCACGCTACCTCTTAGAATCATCCCCATTTCTTACTTCTAGATTTTTACTCATCACTAAAGCTGGGGCTGGGGGGTGAGGGGAAGTCTGCTTTATTTTTAATTACTATTCTCCTCTTCCTACCTTACACAGTAATGCGGAAAACAGGAAAAACAAGCAGAGTGGCCCAATCCCTTGAAATTTTTTCTAAGGGTCACTGACTTACTGTCTCACAAAAGGTTGATTCTCACCTCGTTGCTGGCTGCGACTAACTTGTTCATTTTCTCCGGTGCTTCGGGAATATGCTACTTCTGTAAGACAAAACAAATAGCCTCTTCAGATTCTAGTCACCAGACCCCTGCCTCCCACCAAAGACAGAGAAGAATGCTGAGCTGTTCCACAGAAGGTAGCCTCCATCCACAGGAGATTTCCTACGTCCACGAGCAGAATCAAATAGAGATACAGATTTGGAAAGCAAGGGAGCAATAACAGGGGTCCCAAATGTTCCTCCAGTACATCCCGTAGAAATTATTTTCCTGGCTGCAAATTCTGAAGGTTGCAATGATGACTTAGAGCCAAAGAAGAAAAAGGAAAAAAAGTCCTCTTCTGTTTTTTGTTTGTTTTGGGGTCACACACAGAAGTGCTCAGGGCTAACTCCTGGCTCTAGGCTCAAGGGGGGACTATGAGGGATGGAACCCGGGGTGGGTACACGGTACAGCAAACACCTTACCCATTGCTCCAGTCCTTCTTTTGCTCCCCACCCCACCAAGATGTGCTGCATTTTCTAACGAGCAGACCCATGATCCTCCCACCACCATCAGCCTAGGTAAAAGATGTAGGACAGTTTCACTTCTTTAAGGCTTCTTTTAAAAGCCATAAATGGCAGATGCCACACTGTTAGGAAACCACGAGCCTCTGTCCTACCGCTGGCCCGCTTGCCCCCTTCACGCCCCTTTCTCCTGCCCTCTCTCAAACCAGGGCGCAAATGAAGAGGCGGAAGGAAGCGCAGGAACCCAAGGAGGGTCAGGCATCAGACCCCCAACATCCCAGGTGGTCCCCGCGACCACCAGGAATGATCTGAGTGCAGAGCTACGAAGAACCCCTGTGCATTGTGGGTTGCTATGTAGGTGACACCCACAGCCCCCCCCCACCCAGCAAGCAAACCGTACGTGAGGTGCCTGCCTTGCAGACAAGCGGCCTGGCTCCAGCCCCCGACACCGCCAGGTGTGCACCCCCCCATCCTGGCTGGAGGCCCTGAAAACCTCCAGGTATGCCCCCCCACGCACACTGGCTCGTACCCCAGAGCACCTCCAGGTGTGCACGCCTCACACCAGCTCGAGCCCCTGACACCTCCAGGTGTGTACCTCCCACCCTGGCTCGAACCCCCCCAGCACCTCCTGATGTGCACCCCCACCCTTCGACACCTCCAGGTGTGCACCCCCACCCTGGCTCGAACCCCCCCAGCACCTCCAGATGTGCACCCCCACCCTTCGACACCTCCAGGTGTGCACCTCCCAACCTGGCTCAAAACCCGACACCTCCAGGTGTGCACCGCGACCCTGGCTCGAACCCTGACACCTCCAGGTGTGCACCCCCACCCTGGCTCGAACCCCGACACCTCCAGGTGTGCACCCCCCTGGCTCGAACCCCGACACCTCCAGGTGTGCACCTCCCACCCTGGCTCGAACCCCGACACCTCCAGGTGTGCACCTCCCACCCTGGCTCGAACCCCGACACCTCCAGGTGTGCACCTCCCAACCTGGCTCAAAACCCGACACCTCCAGGTGTGCATCTCCCACCCTGGCTCGAACCCCGACACCTCCAGATGTGCACCTCCCAACCTGGCTCGAACCCCGACACCTCCAGGTGTGCACCCCCACCCTGGCTCTAACCCCGACACCTCCAGGTGTGCACCCCGACCCTGGCTCGAACCCCCCCAGCACCTCCAGATGTGCACCCCCACCATTCGACACCTCCAGGTGTGCACCTCCCAACCTGGCTCGAACCCCGACACCTCCAGGTGTGCACCCCGACCCTGGCTCGAACCCCGACACCTCCAGGGGTGCACCCCCCGAATAAAGAGTCCGAGCTCCCTCCTCCCGCTCCGCCCCCCGGCAGCCGGGCTACCTCGGAGGTTGCCCTCGTCGCTGAAGGTGGTGGTGAGGACCCCCTCGGTGAGCACGCAGCCGCAGTCGGAGCACACCAGCTGGCTCTGCGAATAGTGTGAGTCCTCCACGAGCTCGGCGGAGCCACACTCGGGGCAGCGCCCTCCGCCCGGCATCGCGGCGGCTGCCGAAAGCCGAGGCCACCTCCGAAGAGCATCCCAAGGCACCGAAGAGCAGCTGGGCGGAAGCAGGAAGCAGGGGAGCCTTCCAACGGCTGCACCTCCCGCCAGCCAATCCGCTCGCCGCGCAGGCACGTAGTTCCCGCCCCCCCGGCGGCCGCGCGGAACTTCCGGCTCTTACCCCGAGGACTCGGGTAGAAACCTAACCCGGGAGAGGAGGTTCCTAGCCTGAACTTCTTTTTCCACGCTCCCTGCAGTTAGTTTCAGGTGGGCCAGACTGGGAGTTGGTTAGCAGTGAAGCTTATACCTGTAGGGCACAATATCAGGAACTGTTGCAGTCCCCCGAATCCCTCCTTTCTGATCTTCAAGGGAGGAGGGGGAACCACAGATTATTATTTCCCTTTGGTAGCAACTGTTGGTTTTGGCCACGGTACAAAGCATAAAGTATATGTCCAAATGGAGAGCAGTGTGAGAGAGCAGGAAGTTGTGCTCCGCTTTCCAGGCGACTTTTCCAAACAAAGTGTTTCCTCTCTTTGCATTTTTCTCAGCTGTAGAACAAGAGGGTCGAATTAAAAGCCCAGAATCACAAACTCAAAACTGTTTTCAGAGGCTAGGTGTGGAATGCAAGGGAGTTGAGTGGAAGAACATGGACAGTGAGTTTATGGGTAAAATCAGAGAGTTCCAGCAGATTTAGATGTTTCAAATCAAAACCATAAGCTTCAGCATGCTCCAGGATTCTGGCTTGAAAGTTCTTAAAGTGGTGTAGCGTGGATCAAAGAATCTTTTGCAAGGGGCCATAGAGGTTGTACAGGGGTAAGGCACTTGCCTTTGGCGGAGCAGTCCAGTTGGAAATCCCTGCACCACATATGGGCCCAAGACACGCCAGGAGTAGTCCCCGAGCACCTTAGGGTGTGGCCCAACACCCATCATCCCCCAACTCACCCACACCCCTGCAAAAGGAATATTGAACAAAGTTGTGCTTTAGTGGTGTTATTACAAGAAGCCAAACTCTAAACTTCAAAGTATGAATGCCATGTTTGAATGCAAAGTAAAAGTCACCAAAAGGAGTGTATTATTTTGCAAGTAAATCTTCATCTACTCATTAAGAATAGAGATGTTAAAATTTGAAAGTTTTTTCCTGGATTGAGAATAACAAGGAAAGAAGGGACGGGTGGGAGGTAGGATGAGAATGCAGACTGGCAATAATTTGGGCATTGGTCATGGATCTTGGGCATTTCAGTGATATAGAGGTGATGCTATTATGTACATCAAAACCATAAACCGGGGCTGGAGCAATAGCACAGTGGGTAGGGCGTATACCTTGCATGCAGCCAACCCGAATTCAAATCCCAGCATCCCATATGGTCCCCTGAAGACCGCCAGGGTTGATTCCTGAGTGCAGAACCAGGAGTAAGCCCTGTGCATCGCTGGGTGTGACCCAAAAAGCAAAAAAACAAAACAAAACCATAAATCAACACTAATGTAAGCATGTGACCTGAATTATAATAAGGACAATTTTTTTTCCAAAAAAATGAGTTTGCTAAGGAAATGGGGGTGGGGAAAAGGAAGGAACCTTGGGTCATTGGTGGAGGGCCACACACACTGGGCTTGGCATTGAAACATTGGATACGTGAAATTGTTATCAACAGTTTTATAAATCAGGGTAGCACTGTAGCACTGTCCTCCCATTGTTCATCGATTTGCTTGAGCAGGCATCAGTAACGACTCCATTGTGAGACTTGTTGTTACTGTTTCTGGCATATCGAATACGCCATGGGGAGCTTGCCAGGCTCTGGCAAGGATACTCTCAGTAGATTGCCGTGCTCTCTGAGAGGGACGGAGGAATCGACCCTCGGTTGGCTGTGTATAAGGCAAATGCCCTGCCCACTGTGCTATTGCTCTTGCCATAAATCAGGGTATCACTGTTACTGTCACTGTCATCCTGTTGTTCATCGATTTCCTCGAGCAGGCACCAGTAACGTCTCCTTCGTCCTAGCCCTGAGATTTTAGAAAGTGCCATATCCGAGGCTCTTTCAGGGTCAGGAGAATAAGACTCATCATTGTTACTGGTTTTTGGCGTATTGAGTATGTCACGGGGAGTTTGCCAGACTCTGCCGTGCAGGCAGGATACTTTCGGGAGCCTGTCAGGTTCTCCAGAGTAAGAACTAGATAATAAAATGTTGCAGCCGCGTGCTTTCGAGAGCTGGGTTTTATAGTCTCTGTGTCTTGGCCGTTGATGGGATCACATGGTGCCAGGGGCAGTTGGTGGATGTAACGCCTACATACTGGAAATGGGGGGATCTGGGTGGAGGAGACCCAGTTCCACTCCGAGCAGGCTTGGAGATCTAAGCCCAGGTCCCGCACACCTGGATTCCTCTGCTGGTTCCTTCATGCGTGAGGCTCATCCGAATGTGTGGAGAGTGGTCTTAAGCATGGCTGTGGCTGGAATAGGAGGTGTTCAGCTGCCGGGGCTCTGCTCGGAGCGGGGAGGGAAACTCAACCTGCCCTCCTCCAAGGGACCCCGGTGAGGACAGCCAGACACGGAGGCAGGAGACTCAGGGTGAATAAAATAAACAAAAATTAAAATAAATAAATAAACAAAAATGAAAAGTTTTAGAATCACTTGTCCTCTGAAAAAATATAAATATTAAGTTTATAAAAATAAATCAGAGGCTGTCCCTAATGGTTTCACGTAAAGCAGAGGGGAGTTAGAGCAAGTGCCGAAAGTGTAAATTTCAGACAGACCTCCAGCCTTAGCAATTTCTTTTTTGGTTTTTTGGGCCACACTTTGTGATGCTCCGGGGTTACTCCTGTTCTGCACTTAAGAATTACTCCGGGTGGTGCTCAGGAGGCTATATGGGATGCTGGGGATCAACCCTGGGTCTGCTGAGTGCAAGACCAGCGCCATATTTAGTTATCGCTCAGGCCCATCTTAGAAATTTTGGAGAATGAGATTAGTACTTCCCTCTCAGGAATAAAACACTTTGGGCAAGAGTACAGGAGTAGGATACTTGCCTGGCATAGTCAGCCAGCCTGAGTTCCCTCCCGGCAGCATGTGTGGCCCCAGTGCCCTGCCAGGAGGATCTCTGGGCTCAGAGCCAGGAGCACTGCTTGGTAAAGTAAGTAAAAGTAAAGGCCCTCCCGTTGATCGTCGATTTGCTCGAGCGGGCCCAGTAACGTCTCCCATTGGAGACTTTGTTGTTACTGTGTCTGGCATATCGAATACTCTCGGTAGCTTGCCGGGCTCTCCGAGAGGGGCGGAGGAATCGAACTCGGGTCGGCCATGTTGGCCGCTTGTAAGGCGAACGCCCTACGGCTGTGCTTTCGCTCCAGCTTAGCACAGCGGGTAGGGCATTCGCCTATGGCCGACCCGAGTTCGATTCCTCCGCCCCTCTCGGAGAGCCCGGCAAGCTACCGAGAGTATTCGATATGCCAGACACAGTAACAACAAAGTCTCCAATGGAGACGTTACTGGGCCCGCTCGAGCACTGCTTGGTATGGTCCACAAAACAGAACAAAAACTGTTGGTCTTTTATAGTACAGAGCAAATGAAAAGATAAGAGTATCTTGTTAGCTGACTGACAAACACAGATGCTCCCTTAAAGAATATGGTGCAGGTTACAGCTGTCATCTTTGAAGGATCAAAATCTATCCTGTTGAATATTTTTCAAGATAAAAAAAACCACTATTAGCTAAAAAGAATAGGTAACACAGTGTCCACGTACCCAGTGACTTTTCAAATCGAGCATTTGAGCCTCAAAAGTAAAAGAATCATGGGGCTGGAGAGATAGCACAGCGGGTAGGGCGTTTGCCTTGCACGCGGCTGACCCGGTTTCGATTCCCAGCATCCCATATGGTCCCCTGAGCACCACCAGGAGTAACTCCTGAGTGCAGAGCCAGGAGTAACCCCTGCGCATCACCTGGTGTGACCCAAAAAGCAATAAAAATAAAAATAAAATAAAAGAATCAGGGCTGGAGCAATAGCACAGTGTGTAGGGCGTTTGCCTTCCACGTGGTCGACCCGGGTTCGATTCCCAGCATCCCATATGGTTACCCGAGCACTGCCAGGAGTAATTCCTGAGTGCAGAGTCAGGAGTAACCCCTGTGCACTGCCGGGTGTGACCCAAAAGCAAAAATAATTAAGTAACTAAATAAATGAAAGAATCTAGGGAGCCGGAGAGATAGCCGAGTGGGGAGGGCGGTTGCCTTGCTCGTGGCCAACAGGCTTCAATCCCCAGCATTCCTCTGGTCCCCAAACAACACCAGGAGGGCACTGAATGCAGCCCCTGTGTATCGCCAGGTGTGAGCCAAAAAGGAAAAAGCAAGAATCTGGGTGCTAAAGATAGTCAGTGGTTTGGGCACATGCCTTGTACGCAGGTGGCCCCAGCTGCTGCCCCTGCTCTGCTCAGGGAGATTCCATCTCCACCTTATTTTGCTGTGACCCAGAAGAATTCCCTGTACCCCAGAACTCTGTCGACCGGCCCTGGGGCTGCATTGACTAGGTGCAGTGAACTCACAAATGCAAAGCAGTCGGACTTCCACTTTTTCATTTTCCACCACAGTCTGTGGACTTTTACTGAGGAATTGAAATTGAACTGGTTCCAATATAAATAGAAGCATTTGCAAAACAGGAACCTCCCCACGCTCCGGCCCGAGAGATGGTCAGGAGCGAAGGTGAAGGCCGTGCGTGCGGCCGACTGCATGTGGGATCTAGCACCACTGATAAGCCCCCTGAGCACTGCTGGGTGTGCCCCCCAAACAAACAACTCAGGGGCCAGATTGAGAGTACGGTGGGTCTGGTGCTTTCTTTGCGTATGGCTGGCAGCACCAGCCAGGAGCTCTGCCGCCTTAGCACGCGATGGTGAACCAATTGCCACCCCCACGACCATCCTGTTATTCGTCGATTGCCTCGAGCAGGCCCCAGTAATGTCTCCTTCATGCTAGCCCTGAGATTTTTAAGAAAGTGCTATATTCAAGGCTCTTTAGGAGAATGAGACCCATCATTGTTACTGGTATTTGGCATATTGGGTATCCACGGGGGG